TCAAGATCGAGAAAGTCCAACATGTGTTTACTCGGTTGCTTTGGAGCAGGTCCAATTCCTGTATTGGTCGATACGATATTCCTGCTTACAGTGTTCGCCTAAAAGCTTTCTCTCTGCGCTCGTTACAGTACAGACGAATTTTGTCCGATTTAGTGTTTTGCTTCCGCGTTCTCCGTAAGGAGGTTAAGCTGACGGCTAGTAAATATTGGAGTTTTAGACCAACCAGTGAAAGGCTGGGTGGATTAAATCTTCATTATGACTATATCCACTCCAAGAACTATTCTTTAATGTTTAATATGATCTTTAATCGTTGCGCAAGATGGTTCGAGCTACTACCCCCTTACGTTCTCCAAGCGAATAACAGCAAAACATTCAAAAGCAGGCTGAGTAAGCTTGACCTCTTGCGCATATTGAGAATACCCGAATTTGTTTAACCCATTCGTTTCTCTCCATTTCAGTCTCAATGTCGGGTGCTTGGTGTTCATTTTGTGAGGTTGGTGTGCTCGAATTTGTCGGTCTCTTCGCTAATTTCTGCGCAGGATGGTGAAAACCAATACGGAATTGTTGGGCAAACTGTGTATTTACTATCTGACTGAAGCTTTCCGACTATTCTACACCCTTTACGATTTAGATCAGTTGTTTGTTAAGTTCGGCTTCTAAGGTATGTACTATCGTCCCCTATACCCGATACCTGAATGTAAAGCTGTAGGCTGTCCAATTTGAGGTGTGTTTTGGTCGATGGCTGCGGACCTGAGTTGTGTTACCAGCTGTTTGATGAGCCTGAGGGACTATGAACCCCTCGCTTGAGGTCCCCCTTGGTTTGCTCGCCTGGGGTCCCGGACGAATTCGTTCGTAACAGGGAGCAAGCCCCAGTACTGTCGTCGAATCCTTGCGTTCAGAACCAAGGACCAGGATCTCGCGGGGGACTCTTTCATCTTCCTAAAGGGGAAAACGGCCTTATTATCAACACAGGGAAGGTCCCGGTGATCTATTCAGTTCAAATTCTAATTCAAAACACAGCCTACTTGCTATCCCGAGAATTATTAGCTTCAGTTTTAAAGTTGTTCGTGTTTGTTGTCTTTGTTTATTTTTTCTTTTTATAGTGCCATCCCCTAATTGAGTATGTTTCTGTTTTTTTTCAAGCTGAGTGGCGCACCCTTGGGTGTATATCAATAAATAAATAAACATCGTCTTCGTTAGATTCAGCCGTAGACCGATTTTTCCACACGCGCAGTCGAATTCAGCCAGCATTCGTTCCGCTTGCTCGATGTTTGGTGTTATCAAAACGATGTCGTCAGCAAAGCGGAGATGGTGTAGTTGCCGACCGTCGATCTTCACTCCCATGTCTTCCCATTCCAGTTGACGCATGACGTTCTCGAGAGAGGCGCTGAAGAGCTTGGGCGAGATGGTGTCCCCTTGTCGCTTCTCTTCTCTCC